GATGCATGACTGCCATCAATGAGTGATGAGCATGGGTGCCGGGCAAGTGACACGATAAAGACTCCGAAGACGGGTAACTCAACTACACTACGACTCCCTACCATGAGTTTCAACAGAGGGCCTATTTAGATCAAAATCGGGGATTCGGTGTCCAAAACGGGGTTTTGCTGACGTTTGTCAAATCCGAAAAATGCAGGGTTTCTGCAACCCCGCACCCTTATCGAGACCGCATCGGGTCCTAGTTTCCGGGCGCTGGATGTCGTACATCAGCTTTCGTCACTCGTATGTACTGATTTGTGTACACCGCGTGTACAAATTGGAAAAGGCCGCTCGATCGGCAACTTGCCGCCTTCATCGTTCTCCCCATGCGTTACCTACACCCCTTTTCGCACTCGACATCCGGGCATAGTGTTGGGTGCCGAATTTTGCAGAGTGGACATCCGTGATGTGGCCGACGTCAGTAGAGACTCGGTCGGTCTGGATAGCCCAAACCGGATCTCGAATGTCGATTTCGAGGCCCGGGCGCGCAATTTGCCCGAGAAACCCCACATCCCGATTTTGGTTTGAATAGGCCCTGACAGAAGGAAGCCGCTTGTGAGGCGCTTCGTGTGTTCCTCTTAGAATGCATTGATGCTATCAATGAGACATGAGCATGGGTGCCGGGTAACACGATAAGACCCGATGACGAGTAACTCAACTACACTGCGACCCCCAACCATGTGTTTCAACGAACTCCAAGGCGTGCCCAATGCTCCAAGAGAGCGACGGAAGCTTATCATCTGCAGGGATGTCGTTTTTTCAAGGGGGAGCGAAGGAAGAAGGGGCTGTTGTTGGACTTAGCTCGACCTTACGGATGATTCGCCTACGGCGGAGAGGGTGGCGTACAAGATCCTCCCACGGCTTCCGTTGCGCCGTGCTTCTCCGTCTCCGTCTTAGTTCCCGCTGCCAGGGTCTAGCTTCGTCTCCTCAACGCTCACAAACCCCATATGCGGCATCTCTCCTCCGTCGTCCCACTGATTATCCGACTAAAGGTCAACCTCAATGACCTTGACCGGCCTCACCTCCGCTTGCTTCTTCTCCATTTACACTAGTCGCGGCTTTGGCGCCGCTTTCCAAAACCAACGCTCCGTTCTGATTGGCCCCTTGAACGCCAAGAACGCGCTTGCCTTTTTCACCGTTGCAAACTCCACGATTTCCCCTCTTGCACCGCCTCCATTCTCACCAAATTTTCCGTCTCAAACCGGGCAATCCCCTTTCAAAGGATATCCGTGCGTCCCTGTTAGTTGCTCGCCGCATTGCGAACAAGTTTGCTCTTGCTCCCGAAACGGGCTAAACCTCGTTCAAAATCACCTTGCTCGCTCCAATTGGTGTCTCACACTCCAAGACGACTCTCCCGATGCCCCAACCGCCTTCCCGGCTTTTCCTCCAAGCCACTCAATATTCTCCGCACGCGCAAGCCTCTCATAGCGTGCAAATTGCCTTTTATCTGGCATAATGTGTTGGCGCTTTCCGAGTTGACAAGCCACACATCCGCCGGCACCCGCATTTCAAGTTTGCGCCACGCCATAAACGCCACTCCGGCAAACTCCTTCTGATTCGGGCGGTCCCCATCGTCGCTCTTTGCGCCACCTCGGGGCTTTCTACACACCGAGCTTATGCGGCACCTCACCCACACTTGAAGCACTCCGCGTTTCACTTCCGGCAATGGGCCCGGACGTGGCCCTTCTTTCCGCAAGTCTAGCACGTTCTTGTGTCGGGACCGGTTTCACGCCTTACCCCTCCCCGCTCAATTGACCCCTTGACCTAACGGTCTCATATTGTTCCCGCTTGGCAACGAATGCCTTCCCCATACTCTACTCCTCCTTCTCCTTAGGTCCTAGCTCCCCTTCCAACTTCAGATTTTGCTCCTGCTGCATGAGCTTAGGCTGAATTGTGTCCAACGTCAACTCCTTCCCACTCAACTCTAGATACTCAACTAGACTTGCATACCCCTTTAGCAAACCATTCAAGGCATGGATTGCCAACTCTATCTCGGAAAAAATTTGACCCACTGTCTCCAAATCCACCTCAATCTCGTAAAACTCCCCCACGTACTCCGCAATGCTCTTCTCCAGGTCAACGTCAAGCGCGTCAACTTTTTCTTAAGTTGGACCATTTTTGTTGTTGCTCGTCTTCTCAAAGTTCTCCTCAAGCGTCTTCTGAGCTTTGGCAGCCGTGGACTCCTCGATAAACAACTTTACATAGGCATTTTGAGTGTGTAGGATCATC